GTATTGTAACTCCCGCCAAAATCTTGTCTATGGCCACGAAAAAAGGGTAGATCTTAGCAGTTACGATTTTGCCACAAGATCTGCTTGGATGTAACATTTTAACTAATGACATGGTGATGTCGGGATGTCGGGAGATGTCCCGACCTGCCCTTCCCGGGTCTTTACGAGATCACATGCCCTTTCTTTTTGTACCGGTATCTTCCGTCTGGCAGCCATATCTATATCTGCTTGGGGATAAGGTTCAGAGCCTGTTGGCCGGCCGGGTTTGCAGAGTTCCGCCGCCAGGCATGTCGACCCGCTTGGCTCTAGGGAAAACGTCTATTTACCTTTGTTTGCGTCCCTAACGTTGTGCCACGCTTAACTACCTGCTGCTTATTCTTAGAATTGTCCCTTAATAAGGAACTCTATCACTGGGCGAAAAGGCCTTGAATGCAGCCATATGCGCACAGGGATATTTACGCATTTTTGGCAGATACAAGCGGATGAAAACGGATACGGGTAGGATCCGTAAAATATCCTAAATTTGCATTCTTAGGGATCCGGAACGTTTGGATCCCTAAATATCCCAAAATGGGATTTTCCACGGATATCAATTTGTTTCTTTAGGGATTCTTTTTGTATACCTGGACTGTCCGGATCCCAGAGGATTCCAAAGCGGGATTTTCCGCAGATATCAATTTGTTTCTTTAGTGATTTTTTGTACACCTGAAGTAACCTGGACTGTCCGGATCCCAAAGAATGCAAAAATCGGGATTTTCTACAGATGCGAATTTTTTTAATAGGGATTTTTCCGGATATGCGATAGATCCCCACGTGCAAACGTCGGTATTTTACACGGATGCGTACATATACAACTTGTGATTTTCCCGTATCCCTATCGGATTTCCATACACATTTCTCTGCATTTGCCTCGGATGCAAACAGAGCCGGCGTTTGGATTTTTTTATCCGTACCTCGGATCTTCCCGAATCCTTACGCCATTCTCCCCTGGATACGCCCGTGTTTGATATGTATACGTGCAGATCCAACAAGCAAGTCAAATTAGATAAATGAAGGAATAAACGAATGAAAGCCTTTATTAAAACTCCGCACATACTGCTGTGTAAAGCGACAAAAAAGAGAGAACTAACTATACGAATACATGTAACATATGTAAAATAAATATTTGCAATGCTAAACAGGTAGAACTAGAACTATCACGTCTTGCTTCGCCAGGATGGTCGTCTCACAGTCCATGTGTTGTTACAGCCATCATCTGTCTCCAAGTCCCACATCAGGATGGTCTTTGTGGAAGTCTGCTGAAGACAGTCTTACCCCACGTTCAATCAGTGACGCTTCTGACCTACGAAAAAACACAACAACAGAAAACAAGTACAGTGTAAAAATGGCATTTCGGCCAGAATGTGCTAAAAACCGTTAGGATAACAGTCTCCCCAGCGGCCCGGATGCCAGCAGTAGGCATTGTTATGCGAGCCAGCATTGACATGTGAAATACCCCCCGTGAGAAGGCCGGTGCTTTTACATATGGGAACAACAGGTCAGATAAAGGCCACAGATGTGAGTTGCGAAGCGAGTTGCTCTAAACTTTCGTCAGAAATGATCTGAAACCATAATGATCATACTAATGAAAAGAGTTTCGAAGGGTTTACTCACTTCTATATGCTGTCAACAGTCTTATGCAGTCGGTTTATGGTCCAGTTGAACTGTTCGTCAGGCGAGTCTGCAACGTGTCATGACATGCCTGGCGGCTTCGTGCCCATGCCGGGCGATGTCCCCGGTACGTCTCTCGTCCTTGTCTCGGCCACTGATACCTCATAGCGTCCAGTCGGTGTACGGTCAGTATCCTAGACTTTGACAATCAATGCCGTGGTTGCTGAACTTATGTGCAGCCGATATATATGGACAGCCAGCGGGACGATAGAAAGGGACGCACACTCAAGCAAGCGGTCACTGAAGTGACCGTTGAGTTTGAATCTCCCCCGGGGTTTTCTCAGATTACCCACAAGGCACTGCTGCTGCCGGAACTGCTCTGCGGATCCGTCGAAAATACAGAAGTGGATCTTTGAGAGATGCTCGGTTTTGACACGGTTTTGTATGTGAACCAACTTCTTGTCTGATATGCAAAGTTTCCAATCAGCAAAAATCAGTACAGTCACGAATCCGAGCAGACATTTGCTTATGCGACGCGCAAAGGCAACGTTACAATGTACGTATATGGCTATTTACGGGGTGCGCCCTCTTGTGGCGACTGTAATTTCAACAATTTGCGAATGCGTACGAAAACAATTCGGATATTTAAGAAATCCCCAGATTACCCACAATTCGCTTCTGCTGTGGAGTGGGCCCGCGGATGCGTAAAAAAGCAAATTCGGATATTCAAGAAATCCCCAGATTACCCACAATTCGCTTCTGCTGTGGAGTGGGCCCGCGGATGCGTAAAAAAGCAAATTCGGATATTCAAGAAATCCCCAGATTACCCACAATTCGCTTCTGCTGTGGAGTGGACCAAGGATGACGTAAGAAAGCAAATTCGGATATTCAAGAAATCCCCAGATTACCCACAATTCGCTTCTGCTGTGGAGTGGACCAAGGATGTAAAAAAAAAAACTCCCAGGAATACAAGTATCCTTGTATCCAGTGTATAGTGGATTGTCTGACTTGTCTATGTTATAAACGGTAGTATTCGAGGTCCAAAAATATGACAAGTCATGACCCCTAAAAATGTGACGTTTCCTATCCTAACGACGTATTATTTCTAACGTATACGTATCGAGTAAGTATCCATACGGATGCCGTGTCTGCATCCGCTGCGAAGTAAGTATCCCTACAAATGCCGCATCTGCATCCGCTGCGAGTTACGGATGCATACGTATGCGTTACGGATGTGTGTGGGATCCGCAATCCTGGGGATTCTTGGTGTGGGATCAGCAATCCTTGGGATTCTTGGGGATTCGCGCAGCATCCGCAAGGTGATGCAAATTCGGATCCTTGGGATCCGGCTGCATCCGAGGCCTTTTCGCCCAGTGTATAAGTCTAGAAATAGAGAAAAGAAGCTATAAGGGTTTCTTTGTAAAAAATAATGAGGAGGTATGTTACGTTGTATTTGCATGAGATTTGTAGTTCTATTGTCATGAGTGGTAAGCCATGGCCCTTACGGTTAATATTCACTTACTTCACACCTGCACTTGAGATAGTCCACACTGATGTCGTTTTATGGATAACATCCGCGCGCAGTGATTTTTATCTGTTTAAAAAAATCTGAGGAGGTTTTAGCCATGTCATTCTCTGTAGTCCAGCGAGTGACAATAGTAAAATGTCGGTAAAAGCTGGGCATGGCACCCGGGCCACCAAGGCTACAAGGAACTTGAGAAGTTTATATAGTACTGGCTTCTAAATACTGCTAAAGGCCTGCATGTAAAGGCTTGTAAAAATCGCTATGTACAACTGCAAAGTCGCAATACCGGTTTGTATCCCTGCGGTTTATTTGCACTTTTAAACCAATATGTTTGTCTTCCGTAAACATAATCAGCGCATGGATAAACAAATCCGTTTAACAGACAATGTGGATAATGAACATTATGATTAAAATATTGTAATAGCCCTGTACGTTGCCCGATGCATGAGATCATACCACGCATTCAACGCATTATAAACGGCAACTTATACCTTATCCGAAGCATATAAGATCTACATGTGCCATCGGTAAGGCCATGTTAATTTGATTATATGGATGACAAACGCACGCGACTGAAATTTTTACTCATTTAAACAAGAATTCTGAGACATCATACCTCAATGAAATATATGAGTCTTTGCAAATGTTTTTCTTTGTCTCATTGACAATGGTAATAAGGTCATAATTAGCATAATCTAGTTTGATTTATGGTTTTGTAAATTCAAATGACAATATTTTTACGTTGTGTACGTTGTAAAATCCCTCTACTTTATCATACTTCATTTCAACATGTCATCATTAATTATGCAAATGACCTCCACATTAACATAATATATGCATAGTGGTATCATTTGCATCATTGGTATCTATTGATGTTCTGCCTGCCACATATTAAATACATTACATGTATAAAAGTACAATTATATAAAACATTGTAATTATAGCATTTTCTCATTAATTATGTAAATTAGGTTCTCATTTGCATAATTTACATTTGATTATGTACAGCTCTCTCTCAGTAACCTACACACCAAAAATGATGAAAATACGTTGTTCCTATCTGGACTTATTGGCTTTTAAAGATTTTGCCAGAAAGTGCCCTGCAATTCCAGAACAAGCTGCTAGGAGTACTAAACTCACACCACTTGTTCCAGACAGGATAAGCTATATGTCACCCAAAAGTCAAGACCACAGCATGTTCAGGACAAAAGGTACAAAAACCGGCAGTTCTACTGCAGTACCAAGGTCATCCACCAGGAGGCCCATATTTGACCTTGACCTTCGGCTTCCTGAGTCTTACCAACATACCAAATATCATCACAATCAATAAAGGCGTTATGAAGTTATGCTGACTACAAATGTGCGGAAACACAAACACACGCGCACACACACACACGCACAGACAGACACACACGCACAGACAGACACACACAGAGACGCGTCAAAAACAATACCTCCATTTTTCATGGAGGTAAAAAAAATTTTTTTACGATACTGGTAATTGTACAAGACCACTGCAAAACAAGTAAATATGTACTTGTGAAAAAAATGTAAAACTATTCTGTAGAGTGCCATATAAATTCAAATACAAGGCAAAGAAGATAATGTAAAGAAATGAAAATGAATGATCTATATTTCGCTATACCATATTCTGTGTCTTTAGCCATTTGTTAAACCTTCATGACTATAATTCTTATAATAAAGCGGGTTTGTTTTGTCAAACCTTTTCGCACCCTCGCACCAATGGGGTCTTCATATAATCAGAGTAACTTGGCCTAATCTATAACTTTAAATACTTTTATACAACCTACATATATCTGGTAAATTTGATCTGTTCCAGGATTCCTGATAGTTACCTATTAGTAAGCTGCATAAACATAAAACTGCTAACATAAACCAAAAAACTACAGAATGTCTTAGAAGTCAAGTTACCTCACTAAGAAGTACTAAGCAGTTGTGACTAGGGAACTGATACACATTTGGGGTTAAGCAAAGTCGATGCTCTAATGGGGATGTCTGGCAATGCCAGAGCAGGCTTTTTTCCCGTTATAACTGTTTTGAGAAAAGCGATGTATGAAAAAATGGTACTTTCCTAATTGCTCCGTTGTGACGCTGCCTGGAACATGAAACTTGGCAATATAGCTAATGGGGATGTCTGGCAGTGCCTGCCAGTTGCCTAGTTACAGCATTGATTGACGGCTGTGTAACCAGCGTTTCTCCCAGTCTCGGTCTCTCTTCAGCAGGCTCTCTCTCAACTCGTGCTCAGGACTCCGTTTGCGGCGCTCTGCGGACAAAAGTGTACTCAGAGAGCACCATTACAATAATGGCAAGAATCACTAGAGGCGTGTAAACGCAAAGTTTTTTCTCCAAATCGTTCAGAATCTTATCTTCGTTAGCTGAAGTTCGGGAGCAGTGTGACCAGATTTACGTCAGGCCTCCCATACAAATCGAATGGAATTTAATTTAATTTAAATCAAAACACACCCCTCCTACTTGCGAACAACAGCCAACTACCAGTCAATCATGCATGACCTACACTCGAGAACATTTTGAAACGTTCTGCCGGCTTACCCGAACAGTAGCCGACCTGGCCGAACACCAGCCGAATTCTCCGACCTACTCCGATTAACTATGGATGGTGAATCTTGGCTATTGCTTGGGAGACAATATTCTACTATGTGTGACAGGGGCATAACTTACCAGTTGGCATTCCTTTGACGGTAAAAGGTGGGACGTACTTCCTGGTGACGTCAGGGCATGATGACGTAGTCCATTTCCTCACCCAACTCTCCACCAATCCGGACACGTCATCCAGACTGGTCTGTTCCGCCACATTGATAATGACGTCACTCACCTCTTTGTTGTACAGAAGGACCACCTAACCAAGTGGAAGATATAATCATTACACTTGGTTTAAAATGCAGCATTATTTTCTTACACGTTAAATAAAGCGGGACCTCCAATACCGTTTTGTTACCCCTAAACCAAAAAAAGTTTACGTTAAATATCTTATAGTAGTAAATATCTATACAATAAGATTCATTGTATCGATGTAGTAAGACATATTGTCTCATAAGATAAGATTTTTTTCTTAAATATGGAAAACGAAGGCACAATAAAAGAATCGTGTAACCTTTAATAATTTGAAAAGTGTCTAACGAAATCGGATGTAGAAATATTTGCCTCGTGGCTAGCAAGAAAAAGTTAGACTGACAATGACACAACATGACTTTTAATTAGAAAAAAATGATAAACATGCTTGCGGTAGCAATTGCACCTGTTTAAGACGAATAGTCCAGTGCATGTTGCTAATACCAAGGATCACCTTAAGCGGCGTCTTGAGAGCCTGCATCTCCGCCTTGTCCTCGACCCAGACCGTGACCCTGCCGGAAGCGTGGATAGCGTACAGCTGGGACAGCAGGTCCAGGACAGGCAGAGGGTTGCTGCCCACTGGGTACAGCAGCTGTTCTACACTCTGTGCTGGGTCGGGGCGGAAACGTTCCTCTACCGACTGGACTGTAGAACAATGATTGAACATGAAAGGTCAGTTTTGGCCAGGCAAATATGATTATGTTACATGCTGAAAAGCTGATGACCATTTTCGAGCTCAAATACCATCAAGATCCATTCACGGCATCTCCAGATATGCCGAACACAATATAATAAGCAACTAGAAAGGCCAATATTTGCTTTGGAGCAAATACAGCGATGGGTTCACCACATTTTACGACATGGCAGGGAAAGAATGAGAAACACAATGGAAAACAATGATTTACATTGATATAACTATAATATGAAGTAACATACGACTAAAACAACAGTTAGGATAGCTATTCCCTACTTTATTGGTTAGGATTTTTAATTGCATAATGCAAACTGTTGATTTTCAAAATAAAAATAACGTTCATGCCCCGCATTTCAATGCTGGAGCAGGAAAGCTTGAAATACCTACCAAAACACTTGAATACAGACATACTGTCAGTATGGAAATGCTCTGTGCATCAAGTTAAATCCCAACAGCCAATCAGCAAGAAATGCTCTGTGCAGGTGGAAATGCTCTGTGCAGGTGTTAATCAAGTTAAATCCCAATAGCCAATCAGCAAGAAGAATAGAGGAAAGCTGCATGCCTATTGGTTGATGCCCTGCATTCCATTGTGATGACTCATGCCCAAACGTGGTAAACATGGCACACTAACACAGTAATACATTTGCTATAACACAGCCAAAAAACTCAAATAAAACCATTCTAAAAGCCTGTATCACAAAAATTTAAAAAACGCCTAGGGGTATTTGCCCACTGTGCCTCCATACCAAATTTCAGGACCTTAGGCCCTAAAATGAAGAAGCTGAATCCATTTAAAAAATGGCAGGAGAAGAAGGAGGAGAAGGAGGAGGAGAAGAAACACCAGAAAAAGCAATATGGTTTCACCTCACCACTTCGTGGTGTGGTGAACCCATAAAAACATAAAAAGCCCATCGCAGTGCCATTGGAAAAGCCAGGTGGCCATTTTTTTTTAAAACTTGACCCTCGATTAGACAATATATATTAATTAACAGACCAAATGTCAATAAGACTCGAGTCATGACGTCGACCTGCATAGAGAACCAAGCCACGGCCCAGCCCAACATGAAATTTTGGTCGGACTATTGCTTTTAACACGTAAGCGACAATAATAGTCAGAAAATTAAAGAAGAGCGAAATGAATGGGTTCTTACTCATCAGAGAAAACAGCGGTGCTTCCACCAGACAGTGTCGGTCCCCTCCACACGCGTACAGCTTCAACTCGCTGTTCTCCTTGTAGAAAAAGTTAGTCACGTTTGGTTCATCGTTGTCGAGTTCAAAGTTGACCCAGTGGAGGAAGATGTCACAGTGCTTGACTTTGGACTCCCATAGATCACCTATAGGAACAGTTGAGAGTGTCCATTCATGAAGCAGAGATTTAAACGTGAAAACAACTAGTAGTTTCTAATAACAGACTCCTAGGGCTTACAGAAAAACGGAAAATAAGCTTTGCAGTGGAAATTACGCAAATATGCCAGAGGATTTACTAGACCACTCAAGTATTTTCTGCAGTACATGTGACATAATGTTTAGTCCCCCTTGACATATTGTCTAGTCTATTTGTCAATTAATATTATTCTATTCTCTTGTAAATATCATTATTTAGTCTATTCGCCCAGTTTCTTTAAGTTTTCCAGCGAAACAATTGACGCCTGGTAGATGCAAGCAACGCAAAACCCTTGTACACATTGTATTCTAAAAGCCCTTTTAATCATTGCCTTGTGTTCTATTGTATCACAATGAGATACATTACTTGGTTATTGTTGTTTTCTCTTCTGGTTCGGTCTGTCCTCTGTGTGTATATATGTCTCAATGTTTGTATATTCATGTACTCATATTGTTACAGATATGTGAACACCTAGTTCTTTGTATAATGGGTAAGGGTAGGCATCAGGTTTTGTTTTTGATAATCCGTACGTAATCTGAATCAAATCGGAGATTACCCTAAGGCTAGGATGGATACGCGTAGACTACGCGTAGACCGTTCCTGAGCAAGGTTGTGGATAAAGGAACGGTTCTTATAATACTTAAGTGTCACCATGACTATACCTTGAACACACGTCCCACAGACGCCCAGACACCCCTTCAGAGCCGTCTCTAACTTCCCCCTCAGGCCGGGATGGAGGAACTTCCGCGTTACCATCTCCATGATGTGGGACACCTGGAAGACACAAGAGTCTTGTTTTCTGTTACATAACAGAGCCCTTAACCTGCCCGCACCACGTACTTTATGCGGCATGCATATCATGCGAGTGCTGCGGCAATTTAACCTTTTTCACGTGGTAAACTGTCATTTGCTCTTATAAACTCTCGCAACTATGTTATGTTACCCAATTCTGCTGTTAAGCCTTTCTTTGACTTTCAGTCTTGTTATGGTCCTGTATAATATTAACGATGTTATTATCTTATTGTAGTATTCAAAAGATTGTTTTAATGTCGAACGTTGTTATTTCTATGTAATAGGTGTGTAATTATTTGTTTTATCAAATAACGTATCCATTTCAATTTGTTCTGCCATAAATTTTAAGAAAGTGAATAGTACAACAAGACATAATTTAGCCAATAGCTACACGTTTTTGTAAGTTTTTAGAAATAAAACATTTTGATTGATTCATGACATCCTTAACTATTCTTCAGGCTTCGTTTTGGATACGTGTATTGGTTTATTTGTTTATTTAAATTTTTCACAAAGTGAAAGGGAGGGCAAAACAGGTGCGAAGCACCTTTGCTAGTTGCCCTCCCACATACAAAAACAACAAGAATGTACATTACACAGTCAACAATCTATAATACAAGTAGGGCACAAAATATCATATAAACATAATCAAGGTAACAACAATGAATGGAAGAGATAACCATATCGGAACGGGCAATACAAGAGCTACATCCACACGAAGTGGTCCAGGTACATGGCAGATCAAGACTGTATTGAGTGTTGAATCTGTTGTAGGCTACTTTTGCCAGTTTATGTTTAAATGCTATGATATCAGACTGATGAGCGGCTGCCAGTGTAGACTGCCAGAGCAGATGTTTTGGCATGGTTCTGAATACGTATGGTTCCTGATACAGCACATTTCTTAACCCTCCACCATCGACATTATTCCTGTAATTGAATCATACCTGAATCATTCACTGGACGGAGTAGACAGTGACCAGTAAACATCAATTATTTCGTCAACCTGGTCAGTGGTCACTCAAATTTGAAAAAAAAAACTTTTGGAAAGGTAATCAAATGGAGAACTAAAAGACAATACTTTAGGTTATTTGCACACAGCTACCTCTGCATCTCGGTGGCCAGCAGTCCTAGCACAGTGTATAGTGTCAGAGGTAGGCACGCACACGTCGCTCCCCAGGCTCCGTTTTCTCCTGCGCCGACTGTTGTCAGCACGGTCAAAAACTAAGGACTGCTTCTGTGGCGGGTTGGCAGTGAGACAGGCGTGGGACAGGCTGTCTGGCTCAATAATTCTTCCCTCTGGAACACGCAATATTCATATATAGATTTTATATATAAATCTAATAAAAATTTAGGTGTCGAGTGTCTTGGGGGAGGAAAATAAAATTGTCATCTAGAAATCCAAAATTGATTAGATCATAGAATGGATATTTACCTGCACCAAGAAGTTGCCACACTCTTTGTCAGCTTCAGTTTGTCAGTGTAATACTGACTGAATCTGTTAGGTGTCGCTGCTGCATTATTAAAAATGCAGCCCCCTTTTTCGTGATGCATGTACTAGCATATGATGTATATGATGCAGTTCGGAGTGACAAAAAGACGTGTATTTACCGACTGAGTTAGTGATGAGTGTGTCCATGTCCAGGTGCCAGTCACTCTCTGTGGTGTTGGGCGGCAGGTAGTCCGGGTGAGCCACCCACAGCGCGCGGTCAGCCTTGTCCCGTAAGCCGATGTACACAGACCTCTCATACAAACCGATACCTGTATACCAGTTACAAGATAATGGACTTTGACCTGCAATTTTCAACACTTGGCCGTCTTTCATTATCATCACTTGTCTCTACTTAATGGCAGAATGACCGTGTACTAGTAAGTTTGGGCGCTTTCCTAAAGTAGTGGATCAAACGTGCCAGCGTAAATGAAATAAAGGAAGATACTGGTCAGGCTGGCTGGGATCAGAGGTAAACTCTCGATTCAAAGCTCCTTAAAGTAATATTCTAAGTTAAAACACCATCGTCTTGCTACGTGCGTTAACACAAAATAAACTAATATCTTGTTTATACTTAAATGCCAATAAAATAGAATCATTGAGTGAATCAATTATGAGGTCCATCCAAGGACATTATACATTCTATATAATGTCCTTGGTCCATTAAATAGGTAACAGGCATTTTCCAAATATAGGCAGTAGGTGTTGTGAAATAAACCCGTAAGAAAGCCGTTAAGCGACCATTGTGCTAGATTAGTTGTTTTTAAGAATAAACGTTTTTTTGTTACCTTTGTTGTCTGTTGTCTACTCAGCCGGAAGGAGGCAGGTGGAGTGTCTTTTAAATCATAGTTTTTACGTAGTGCAAAATATTTCAATCTCAATGTCATGAGCAATACAATCTAATTTTGGTTGCTCTCTTGCTTTCCCAAAGGTGAAAGGGGACCTAACTTACCTATTTCATACCCTGCGTTAGTGAAGAGTGGTCCGCATTTAATAGCGGCCCAGCGGGCCAGCCTGGCAGGGGTGTGTACATCCGGGTCTATACCATCTCCCTCCGGGTCATAGGTCAACTCCATGGCGATGCCGAGATTGTGTGTACTGTAAATGAAAATAAAATTTCACAATGAGCAAAATGCTTCGTACTGTTTTAGCTGTATGTCAGAGCAGCTTCGAAGCAATATGACAAGAAGCAATTTGAAACTTCAATGCTACAGTGTAGCATTGTAGTTTAAATTATAATAAATAATAAATAATAAATTATTAATGATTTAATGGTAATTTAATCTCTTTAAAATAACAGTCCTTTATCTTACCTGTAGCGCAGATCCATGACGTCATATTCATTGTTCTGAGCTAGAGTGTTCCGGTAACCTTTCCGGACTACGACCTTCCGGAAATTCTTTGGAGGAACTGAAGTTTGATGGGCAAAACAGTAGAATATTGAATAGATCGGACAATCGACGTACTGTATACAGTAAGCTTAGCTGCATGACAATTGTACCAGGGACAATCAAGCAATTTTGTATATAGATGGAATGCGTTAGACAAAATGTAAGATGTTTTCGGCTTCCTTTAAAGAGACTTTTAATAAAGCACTTACTAGCGGCAGGTTTTAAAGAATTGTTTTAGTTTAGACGGTGAAAAATTCTTTGTATCAATGCAGTTATGCATGTAGATCCCACCTGACTATATATCATGAGTATTTATATACAATAGACAATACATGAACCCTGTAAGCAAAGATAACAGATCGGTTTGTATTTATCATAACGAAGATATACAACTTTATTTATCTTTCTCCCTTATCTCCCGACTTACACGATTAGTTAAGATGTCACGCGTAAGAAAAACACGTCAGGCCTTACTTTATACATGTCCAGACGTATTCTTTAACGCATCGGGGGACTTATACTTTGATCTATTATGTGGATGCTAGGCAGTATTATTTAATATTAAAACAGTGAAAAAATGTCACCGGCTTCAGAGTTCCACTTGTTCTCACGAGTAGAGACCATTTGATAGCAGTCCACCAGAACTGGACTCAGCCGGAAGTACCTCACATCCGGGTCCTTAAAATCCTCGATGGTGGCATCGTCACAAAGTTTGGACTTCTCCTGTTGGTGATATTTGATTAGAGGTTTTAAAAAATCTTTGTCACATACATATTAAGTCTTATATTATATGATTATACAACTGGATGTTGTTGACAAAAAAATTTCCGGTAAATATTACTGTAGCTCTCCAAACAAATGCAACAAAAGCTGTTTATGACTTGAATATACGTCCTGTGGGTTTGTTAAATTGGCATATTGTTTTAACCAATGATAGTATGGACGAATAATAAAAAAATCTACACAGCCTGCTTTCTAATGTTTTATAGCGTAACGATTTTGTAATGGTATAATGTAAATATGGAATCTTGTTGCTAGATTTTTACATTTTACAGACTGAATGTTTGCTACCTGTCTGTCGCTGTCCACCAGTGGAACAGCATGCCGGCTGTACGCCGAGGCTACGTCATAGAACAGCCGGTCGTCAGCAGGCGGATCAACCGTCAACAGGGCAGCGGATGGATACTGCACAAACGTCGGTGAGTCACCCGCTTGCTTTTTTACAGCCACGTAGAGATGATTGCCTGTATGAGGAAACATACGTAATCACAGATTTTTAAACGTATCATTTAGAACAATTCCATTCATGTTTACTTACTTGTTTCTATTTGACGCGCGCGGGGTGATAGAAAATGAAATATATATCAAACTACTTTATACTTAAAAAAATATGGTTAGATTTCACGAGTGACTTTTGAGTGTATCTCATTGATCATGCAAATATCATAGAGGGCTATTGTGTTATACTCTTTTATACTGTGCAAATGAAGTCTTGATTTGAAGAATTTTAAACGATGTTTCAGTTCACTTAATTTTAAACTCTAAATGTATATAAAATTTTGAACAATTACCGCTATGAAATTGTAATATTTTGCTATTAATTATGCACATTCTTTATTTACACATCTACAAAAAACTAAAATTTGGCAATATCACAAGATGTCAAATAAGATGATTTAGATAATTTGGTCATCGACACATTCTGATTTGTACACTTATCATCTGCAATAGCGTGAGCTGCAGTGTCATAACACGCCGCTGTGTGGCAATTTTCTACGTTTCTTTATATAAGACCTATTCACAAACTAAATATCAGAGATGTCAGATATCCAAAAGGGGTTGCGTCTTTCGTGAAAATATTAGTACGGTAAATAAGTTGCATTATGCAATCTACTACGTAGTACGTAGATTGCATACTAACTAACAGAAAACTTGAACATACATACTTAGGTAGTTAAAATTAGGTTTAATAAAATATTCTGAACTACGTTGTGACGAACCATCGTGGCGCACAAAGTCCAATCCCGCACAGATGCAGAAGGTAGAAAGTAGCGGCAGTTTCTCGACCTGTCCATCGGACACCTGCAGCCGTGCCGCCCGCCCCTCGTAGTGCAGACTGCCCGCTGGCTGGTCACTGGCCGGGTAGCCCGAGTGAGGCTCGTCCCACGACTCTAGGACTTTCAACTTAACTGTACATTAGATAAAATCGCTAATAAGCACAGTTAGTGTGTCACAACGTTTAGTTAGTAAGTTAGGTTAACAATAATACAAATGACGTTAATGGTTTTAATGATTCCATTAAAATTGTTAAGTAGCATTCTCCTGTTCAGTGTAGGTAATTTTCACATGACTAGAATTGGACAAAATATTTACCCTAGATTACCTTAATATTACTTAAAAATGAGGGCTGTAAATTGTAGCAATTAGCATTTTCAATCCGAAATTTAGTTATTTTAAAATACCAAATCTATCTGTATGGGATAATGATAATAATATAATATGTATAATAAATGAACATCACCTCCATTCCACTGGTTTCTGACAAGTTTCTCTACTTTCTTCAGGGTGGTCAGAAGACGTTTGCTCATCACACGGTCTGCGCACCTAAAATTTTGTATGCCCATAACAGGCATATTAAATAGGTAAAACATATGCAAAACAGCAAGAACAAATTAAAAAAAAATCTGGCAACAATGGTCAAAGTTCACGACAGAAAATAAACTAACCGAGTAATCGAATACGTCAAAATGACAACATAAAGTTCATCCCACTTCCCAACATGTTTCTGAATTTTGCCTTGTCTTTTTGTCATTAAACATTCCAATTTTTTAAGTAGGAGACATAAGAAAGAAAAGGTGGGAAATCTCACAGCTGTTGATAATGTACTTACCTAAAAGAATATTGACATTTGAAAGGTCCGGTCATCATTTAACAACACCAAATCTAAATGATAGAATGGACTCAAACAACATTCCATATGACATTATGTTTAGACAAGCTCTACTCTCTTATAAATTCTACAATATAACATTTAAATGCCTTCACCTTGCTGCTGAAGTGAACCCTTCCGGATGTGACATACAATCTGGACAGGAAGTGTTCTCCGCCCCACACCAGGTCGAGGCTCGTTCCTCGTCTGCAAATTCGATATGTCGGGCAGGGTACTGAACCAGTCTGGATCATGTTGGCAGAAAATAATGCGATAGTATGATATTTCATTGGTTTTCTTTTCCTTTATATGTATATCTGGCATGACTCTGACTACTATTGAGTATTCATTCACTCACTCACTGGGTCGAGTTTGCCTCGGTTCCAACGACTGCTCTCCATCTCTTCCTATCCTTAATTTTAATTCTACCATCAGATTTTTCCTGTCGGGCTTTGTGTCATCCATATAGTTTTTGCTGGACAACCTCGACGTATTTTTCCTTGTGTGGGTTGGGTTCCCACAGTAGTGATGTATGACTTCATACTCACTTCTGTAGCAGTGTCTGATGAATTCAATCTTCGTTTTTTACCATTTTCGCATGCGCGAAAATGGTAACTCAGACGAGATTGACATTGGATGCATTGATAAATGGATGGATCAACGGTTCCACCCTTCAACGGCCATGCAGACATGCTAAGTCAACGCATGTCGCTAAATGTCATTGTTGCGACGGCCATGCAGACATGCTGAGTTGCCGCATGTCGCTAGATGTCGTTGTTGGGAGTGCACTTTTTACCATTTATGCCTTGGACGTTTGTATACTTTCCATTATGGTTGCTAATTTCAAAATCATAGTTCTATTAATGTTGCATAACAAAGCTGCTGACAAAACAAACTTAATTTGTCTTGAACAATAACTTGATTTTATTATTTGCCAAAAATGTTGATAAAGACATGTCTATAATCACAGTAATCAAGGATTTTAATAAACTGCATAAATTATGTCAATGAGCATTAGCAGTGTGGATTAGTCTAGATGTTCAGATTTCCATTAGCCGGCAGTCCAGAGGGTCACACGTCCGACCAATCAAGGCGCTGCAGGCAAAGCTTATTAAAAACCTCCTTTTCAGGCGTTCCCGGATCGGTGTTTTTGTGTGTGTGTGTGGTTGGGGGGGGGGGTGTATTTTCTGACCAAACGTAGATCGCACGCAATAGAAGCTCCGGCCTACATAGCTGTCCGTGGAACTATTGATATTACTTGGGTGCCTAACTTTCACCAACATGTCTTTTGTATTTTAGGAAATTAATTAATTAATGAGTGAGTGTTTCATTAACTTAAATAGGTATTGCATTGTTTGGCAAGGTATTTTCCATTGACAATTTTTAATGGATCAGGTTGATCAAATGATATAATGTAAACAATTATATATGATTAGTAAAAGATGACTTTTGAAGTTCTCTTCGAGTATTATTTTAGGGTTGAATCAGGGTCAACGCGAAAAAAAATCATGATCCGGTGATCGACATCATGCCCCCCCGCACACTCCATGTATTCAGTGTTCTAAATACCCGTCTTCAGTCTGCAATTTGCAGATAGATTTTTAAGATTTCAGGATAAAAATTACACAATCTGCAATTTGAAGAATGAAAAAAAAACTATGGTCCTCACAACTTCATATTCCCTTTGTTTGACCCGCCCGGCGCCCAAATCCCGCTGCGATTCAAGCCGCGGCGGCTTCCCGAGCCATGCAAATAAACCTAGTCCTGACGCCACAGCCTCCGATTTCCACCGAGCCAGCTCCGAGCGTATGCCGACAGCGAGGGATGTGGCTCAGATTTCCGACGATTTCCTTATTTAGATCATTCGGAAGACTTCGGGTAGCAAACAAAATGGCCGCCATGCACATGATTTTATACTAGTAGCTTCGCTTCTCAACCGAAATGAGGAAGTTTAACCTCATTTGCAGACTTTAGCGGCCATGGAGTTGATTTGGGGAAGTGCTGAGACGCGATTTCGCTACGGCATATAGGATTTTGCCGCGGATGGAGTTACGTACGCCGGCAAAAACTTGCTTCAGCGATCGGCTCCAGAAAATTTATCTTTATGCTGCCGCTCAAGTCTTCGAAGGTGGTTTAACGAAGTTTATATAAATAATAAAGCCACTTTGCGTAGATCGATCTCCGTTTTCTTGTGATGGTATGAAAATTCAAGTACAGTATATTTTCAAAACGTTTGATATTTCTTTGTTCGTTGCCACATGTTGTTTATTTATCTTATTGTCATGTACAGTTACCAGCGTGAGTCTGAGTCGAGCCATTGTTCTTATGTGGCCGTTAGCACATGTTGTTTAAACAGACAGCAACATTGAAGAAAAGAACCGAGTTAACAGACATCGGCACGTTCCTTGAAGTCAGGTTTCCCGCCGTATTTAAATAAGAAATGTGTGGGCCCGCGGCGTTTTGAAAAGACGCGACGCGCTTTGGAAAGACCCCGCGCCGTGGCTCATTCAAATTCGCTACATTTTTTGCTAAGTTTAAATGTCTTCACCCACGATTTTTGACCGTCAATGTTGACGGTAAGGACTTAAATTTTTACCGTCCGACGGGAAAAAATACCGTCAATTGACGGTAAAACGGGCGCTGGCTAAAGCCCTGGTTGAATGTCACGAGGTTTGTAAACTTAGATGTTGGGGACAAAGCCATAGAAGAGATTTTGAATAAAATTATATATATATATATTAACGTTACTTATAATTTAAGTTAAAATGTACTTTTGTGTCTCATTTTTTTATTCTGTTAAAAAGACTCTTAAAAGAGAGAAAACAGGTTATAAACTGTTATATACTTGATTTTTGTAATGTTTTAAACTTAAAGAGTTGAAATATAGAAGTGCATGTTCTCTCATTATATACAATGTTGATGAGAACTAGAACCATTTATATAACTTAGGTAAATTGAAATGCTAGGATGGGGAAAATGTTCGTAAAAACTGTAAGCCTGTAAGCGGCGAAAATGGTCAGCTTTTGCAGAAGCACTTGTTTTTATTGTTTCTCTCCCTGTGGGTAGATTTTCATATAGTACACCATTTGGTATCTTTTGGTACTGGTGTACATTTTTCACAATTCTAAGCATTTTTGTGTAGGTTTTAAAGATTACCATAGTAATATCGATGCTTTATTAGCTTTCAGTAAGGGGATATAGTTTGGATTGATAAATAATGTCATGAAATACACCATGCAGTTTCGGGTCAATCACCCGGGAATCAACTAACACTTAATCTCTACCCACCCACTTCGGAAACTTGTCAAGAATTGCCGGCTACCGAGGCAAACAATACCTTCGTTCCTGAAGAAATAAGCTAATAGTGAAGCTCTTTTTACTTGGTTCTTTTTTTCAACCGAACTGATGAGTAAAGAAATACAACGGAACCGTGCGAAGTCAGCGCTGTCACGGGTCACGGTGCTGCTGATGCCCCCGACAACGTCGTCTGCAGCTGTGATGTCCGCCGGAAAGGTTTCCCCGGGGTTTAGACTAGGTGTGTCCGTACAGGTGGGCACACTGACAGGATCTGTTTTATAACGAAATGTTTCACAGGAAATTATGGTTACTGATAATCTTACAGTTCCATGAAACTAGGTTACCTTGAAAAAAATTAAGATCGAATTTGAGATAGAAGACGCTAATATTGAAATAAATGATTGTACATAAGAAAACCCAATATTGTTAACTATTTACATGAAATGTTTGTGGAATTATATTCTGGGTCTTCTGGGTGTGCTACTAAGTTTTGATCAACTATGGTCTTACTCTTTGTAACTATTTGGAAAAAATGATCTTTAACATTCGATATTGTGACATAAAGAGTAGTCGATACAATGCTCTTCTGCTTGTGGCTTGTTTCATAAGCGCTTAAGCAGCAATCTAATTAAATGTTAATCGCCACGCCAAACGTCATTGCGGGAACCATTCGAGGGTAAATCATTGAATTGTAAAATAGAATACTAATATTAGCCAAACTACAAAAAAAATAAATTGATAAAGCCGTTAAGTCTTTTCTAACTGGATAATTGAAAGTTTAAAAATAATGTTGGGTCTTATGACGGAGGAACACAAACTGTTTTGTGGGCCCTGTGTCTTACCATAGACGGCGTCTATCCAGTCCCAGGCTCGCGCAGTGAACGTTGGTCCGTCTATTGTGGCGTTGTCGTCTGTAGTAAAGACCAGACCGTGGTTTCCGTCATCAGCTTTCAGCGCCAACTCCACTTTGTCTCCGTAAAGCGTCACTCCAAAGTCCCTACGACTTTCCTGTGCGAAAAAAATAACTAAATGTGGACTAGTAACTACAAATGCCGACATTTGCTAGGGAGAACCTTTATCATATATTTTATT